GTCTCTCCCACACACACTTTCAGGTCTTCCCCACACACACTTTCAGGTCTCTCTCACACACACACTTACAGGTCACTCCCACACACACTTTCAGTTTCCCCCCCCCCACACTTACAGGTCTTCCACACACACTTACAGGTCTCCCCCACACATTTACAGGTCTCTCACACACACTTACAGATCTCTCCCACACACAATTTAGATCTCCCCAACACACACCTACAGGTCTCCCCCACACACACTTTCAGGTCTCTCCCACTTACACTTACAGGTATCCCAACACACACTTTCAGGTCTCCCCCACACACACATACAGGTCTCCCCCACACACACATACAGGTCTCCCCCACACACATCTACAGGTTTCACCGACAAATTTCTACAGGTTTCTCCCACAAACACCTACAGTTCTCTCCCACACACACTTTCAGTTCTCCCCCCCCACACACTTACAGGTCTCCCGCACACACTTATAGGTCTCCCACACACTTACAGGTCTCCCACACACCCTTATAGGTCTCTCCCACACACACTTTCAGTTCTCCCACCACACACTTACAGGTCTCCCCTCACACACACTTACAGGTCTTCCTCACATCCTTACATGTCTCCCCCATACACTTACAGGTCTCCCCCACACACACTTACTGGTGTCTCTCACACATACTTACAGGTCTCCCACACACACTTACGGGTCTCCCACACACACTTATAGATCTCTCCCACACACGTACAGGTCTCCCTCACACACACTTACAGGTCTCCTCCACACACACACTTACAGGTCTCCCCCCTACACACTTATAGGTCTCCTCTCACACACTTACAGGTCTCCCTCCACACACTTACAAGTCTCCCCACACACTTACAGGTCTTCAACACACACTTACAGGTCTCCCACACACACGTACAGGTCTTCCCTCCACACACTTACAGGTCTCTCCACACACTTACAGGTCTCCCCCACACACACTTACAGGTCTCTCCCACACACACTTACAGCTATACCACACACACTTACAGGTCACCCCGACACACACTTACAGGTCACCCCCACACACACTTACAGGTCTCCCCCACACACACTCTCAGGTCTCCCACACACACTTACAGGTATCCCCCACACACACTTATAGGTCTCCCCCACACACACTCACAGGTCTCCCGCACACACTTACAGGGCTCCCACGCACACTTACATGTCTCCCTCCCACACACTTACAGGTCTCCCTACACACACACTTACAGGTCTTTAACACACACTTACAGGTCGTCAACACACACTTACAGGTCTTTAACACACACTTACAGGTCGTCAACACACACTTACAGGTCTCCCACACACACTTACAGGTCTTCCCTCCACACACTTACAGGTCTCCCCACACACTTACAGGTCTCCCCCACACACACTTACAGGTCTCCCCCACACACACTTACAGGTCTCCCACACACACTTACAGGGCTCCCACACACATTTACAGGTCTCCCGCACACACTTACAGGTTTCCCTCACACACTTACAGGTCTCCCCACACACACACTTACAGGTCTCCCCCCTACACATTTATAGGTCTCCTCTCACACACTTACAGGTCTCCCACACACACTTATAGGTCTCTCCCACACATACTTAGAGGTCTCCCACACACACTTACAGGTCTCCCACACACACATATAGGTCTTCCCTCCACACACTTACAAGTCTCCCCACACACTTACAGGTCTTCAACACACACTTACAGGTCTCCCACACACACGTACAGGTCTTCCCTCCACACACTTACAGGTCTCTCCACACACTTACAGGTCTCCCCCACACACACTTACAGGTCTCTCCCACACACACTTACAGGTATACCACACACACTTACAGGTCACCCCGACACACACTTACAGGTCACCCCCACACACACTTACAGGTCTCCCCCACACACACTCTCAGGTCTCCCACACACACTTACAGGTATCCCCCACACACACTTATAGGTCTCCCCCACACACACTCACAGGTCTCCCGCACACACTTACAGGGCTCCCACGCACACTTACATGTCTCCCTCCCACACACTTACAGGTCTCCCTACACACACACTTACAGGTCTTTAACACACACTTACAGGTCGTCAACACACACTTACAGGTCTTTAACACACACTTACAGGTCGTCAACACACACTTACAGGTCTCCCACACACACTTACAGGTCTTCCCTCCACACACTTACAGGTCTCCCCACACACTTACAGGTCTCCCCCACACACACTTACAGGTCTCCCCCACACACACTTACAGGTCTCCCACACACACTTACAGGGCTCCCACACACATTTACAGGTCTCCCGCACACACTTACAGGTTTCCCTCACACACTTACAGGTTTCCCCACACACACACTTACAGTTCTTCAACACACACTTACAGGTCTTCAACACACACTTACAGGTCTCTCCCACACACACTTTCAGTTCTCTCCCCACACACTTACAGGTCTCCCACACATGCTTACAGGTCTCCCTCACACACTTACAGGTCTCCTACACACACTGACAGGTCTCCCACACACACTTACAGGTCTTCCCTCTATACACTTACAGATCTCCCGCACACACACTTACAGGTCTCTCACACACACACTTACTGGTCTCCACACACACACTTACTGGTCTCCCACACACACTTACAGGTCTCCCACACACACACTTACAGGTCTCCCCCACACACATCTACAGGTCTCCCTTACATATACCTCTCTCCAACACACACAGTGTCTGTCTTCTCCAACACCTCCCCACCTCCTGTTCCAACCCAAGAAAACCAGCCTCCCAACACACCACCCAAGGCGTTTCTCGACGTACATATCCTCCCTATCATCATCCCACTCACACCCCACAGCATCACAATGTCCTAGCACCCGATCTTCCCCAACACAGTCCCTCCACACACTGCTTAACACCTTCCCACTCTCGCCACATCACTGTAACCATTGTATTTATACACCTTGGTCTTCACTGTAAATATCTTCACATGCTCTCCCTTTGTGTCCACTCAGACCTGCCTTGTCTCCCACACTTGCGCTCTCTCAGTCGTCCCACACAGTCACCCACTCCCAGTCTCCCGCCTGCACATCCCTCTCCCTCCCACACATCCCGCCCATCTCACTCCCACACATCCTGCCTATCTCACTCCCACATATCCTGCCCATCTCCCTCGCACACATCCTGCCCATCTCCCTCCCACACATCCCGCCCATCTCCTTCCCACACATCCTGCCCATCTACCTCCCACACATCCTGCCCATCTCCCTCCCACACATCCTGCCCATCTCCCTCCCACACATCCCGCCCATCTCCCTCCCACACATCCTGCCCATCTCCCTCCCACACATCCTGCCCATCTACCTCCCACACATCCTGCCCATCTCACTCCCACACATCCTGCCCATCTCCCTCCCACACATCCTGCCCATCTACCTCCCACACATCCTGCCCATCTCACTCCCACACATCCTGCCCATCTACCTCCCATACATCCCGCCCATCTCCCTCCCACACATCCCGCCCATCTCCCTCCCACACATCCTGTCCATCTACCTCCGACACATCCTGCCCATCTCACTCCCACATATCCTGCCCATCTCACTCCCACACATCCTGCCCATCTCCCTCCCACACATCCTGCCCATCTACCTCCCACACATCCTGCCCATCTCCCTCCCACACATTCTGCCCATCTACCTCCCACACATCCTGCCCCTCTCCCTCACACACATCCTGCCCATCTCCCTCCCCTCACATCCTGCCAATCTCCCTCCCACATATCCTGCACATCTGCCTCCCACACATCTCCCTCCCTTCACGTCCTGCCCATCTACCTCCGACACAACCTGCCCATCTCACTCCCACATATCCTGCCCATCTCCCTCCCACACATCCTGCCCATCTCCCTCCCACACATCCTGCCCATCTACCTCCCACACATCCTGCCCATCTCCCTCCCACACATTCTGCCCATCTACCTCCCACACATCCTGCCCCTCTCCCTCACACACATCCTGCCCATCTCCCTCCCCTCACATCCTGCCAATCTCCCTCCCACATATCCTGCACATCTGCCTCCCACACATCTCCCTCCCTTCACGTCCTGCCCATCTACCTCCGACACAACCTGCCCATCTCACTCCCACATATCCTGCCCATCTCCCTCCCACACATCCTGCCCATCTCCCTCCCACATATCCTGCCAATCTTCCTCTCCTCACATCCTGCACATCTACCTCCCACACATCCTGCCAATCTTCCTCTCCTCACATCCTGCACATCTACCTCCCACACATCCTGCCAATCTTCCTCCCACATATCATTCGCATCTGCCAACAATGTAATTCTCACCGTTTGCTGCTTTGAACATGGTAATCCTTTTAAGCCATGTCGTGAATCTTTTATTAATATACACTTTTTGAGGGAGAGAGTTATCAGGAGAACGTGCCAAGCTGTTACGACTATAAAGTACTTGGGAGATTAAGGATTTGTGATGGGACGGGAGCTGAATATAAAAGAGATTTGCTGTTATCACAGCAAATATGTAATGTTATAATAATTGGGAGGTAAGTTGATGCCTATCTATCCAACTCTTTAACAACAGGGATCATATTCGCCACTCTCCAGAGCCTTGGGTTAGATGGTCAGTTTGAGTGGTTTGAGGAACCACTGAACCACTAACTCTCCATTGAGGAACCACTGACCCGCTACTTCGCTCTACATTTTATATTTAGTTACTAACTTCTTTTTTTAGTAACTATTAATTTTCTGGTTGTTTTCAATACATCGATACTTTTAATCAAGTGTCTGTGTATTGATGTGTTCTTCTATAGTAAAGGCTGACATTAAATACTCGCTTAGAATATTACCCATTTCATCTTTCTTATATGTTAGCTGGTTTGAAACTTCAGGAAGAACACTCACTTCACAACTCTGCTCGCTTCTTCGGTTTAACATCATCTATACAGTCAGCAAATTAAAAATAAGCCAGGATAAGCACCTTTGAGACGGCACTGGGTAAGACCCTTCAGAAGCCGCCCTGAAGGCGTTCAACTCCCGGGCGAAGAATTCGTCTTTAAAGCCACCAACCACATCTGCAAATCAACAAAATAATCACAGAATGACAATCTGCTGCAGAAGAGACTCTAGCATAGATAAATAACTGAAAACTATTCTGATTATAAATTAAGTTGCACAAAAGGTGAACAAACGTGATGGCTCACCATTCTGTTCATTAAGTAGCATCCAAGATCTCATCCTGGTCTCATCTCAAGATAAACCATCTCATTGTATACTGACTTTTTCCCAAGTGTGAAGATAAATGTAAACATCCTGTGAGTTATCGACAAGTATGTTGTAACATAATGAGACAACCATGATCCTCCTTACTGTAAACCTGAGTGGTTTACAGTCAGAAGGTACAGATCAGGATCCACACCTGAGTAGTCTTCTATCAGAAGATCTGGATCTACACCTGGTAGTAAATGCGGATTAACATGTGATAGTTGGTCCAGGTCGAGGTCCGAGAGCAGCTGATGATCGAAGTCTAACAAGAGGTTAGGATTCCCAGCTAGGAGAAGGTCTTCATCTGCCGTAGAGCCTTCACTAGCCAGAAGCGGCGTCCTCGCCTCCCAGCACCACTCCACCATCACACACACGGAGAACACACTGAAACAAATATATACCAGTCCAGTAACATAATGGTGTCGTAAAACATACTTATCAAGGAGCTTCGAAAGTTTACTGTCGGTCACGAAGCTCTTTGAGTCGAAGCTGACAATGGCGTATAATTACACACATTTTATTAAAGTTATGTGGGAGTGAAACTTCTATAGTTGCTGACCCTATTCCTGCTACATATGCCTCCTGTTACGAACCCGGATCCAGCGTCCGAGCCCGGAGTAGTGACGACCGCGCCATCTGTGGGTCAGCTCCCGAAACCCCCTCCAAACGGACGACGACACCTGGTGAGGACGGCGTGTACTGGCCTCGAGGGCCAGTTTCCAGTCCTGTTCAGCGCTCAACACAACCGCTGCTGACCTCTGGTGAGGTGGTGCTCAGACACCAGCGCCATCTATGGAGTGGATAGGTGGGCGTTTGTGTCTGAGCCTGTAAGTGAGGTGCCTTAGTGTGTCCCAGTTATTGATGACGTGTCTGCTTACAGAGTCGACCTGGGACTGCTGTGATGGAAGTTGAGTCAGTCTACCCAAGGCAGCCGTCTCCATACCTTGTGCTTTGCTGCAGCAGCTGTGAAGTCGTCCCCCGGAAGAACACTGTGGTGTGTTACCCTGCCACTGGAGTGGCAGTAGAAGGATTACCCGGGACCGACTGTTGGAGACGATCATCCACTGGGGTATTGAGGACAGGAGAGTGATTTGTGGTGTCACACGAGGCTCCTGTCTAGGGCGTTCCCCTTATATCGTTCGTGGAGTGGCCTGACCAGCCTTGCTGATCCGGAACCTGCCAGCAGACCAGCTGGACGTGTGGTTGACGGCCTCCACGGCGGTGCCCCCAGTGGACCTGTGTTTTGGCTGACCTGTGGCCAGGGTTGGCTCAACTTCTCAGAGGATTCGTTGTGAGGCCACGAAAGCACCGAGGACTCAGCACCGAGAGAGTTGAATCAGAGTCTTCAGGAGAAGACGATTGTGCGATCCTTCAGTACGAAGATGATTCCCTTGTATAGTGTTAATACCCCTCCCCCGTGTAATCTTTTTATATATTATTTATTGGTGGTGGGCAATATATTATATTAAGTTTTTGCCTTTATTTCCCTTCCCCTTTGAGTTTCTTGCGTCACGGATCACATCCCTTGAAAGCCACTACTGGCTTGGGGTCGGATACAACTTCCTCTAACAACATCAGAGTAAGAACCCCGTTGCGTCCCGAGAGGGCCGTAACACCTCCGGAGCCACATGTGACTACACAACCCCGGGTGGCTGCCCGCCCCAAGCTGCCTCCGGAGCCACATGTGACTACACATCCCCGGGTGGCTGCCCGCCCCAAGCTGCCTCCGGAGCCACATGTGACTACACAACCCCGGGTGGCTGCCCGCCCCAAGCTGCCTCCGGAGCCACATGTGACTACACAACCCCGGGTGGCTGCCCGCCCCAAGCTGCCTCCGGAGCCACATGTGACTACACAACCCCGGGTGGCTGCCCGCCCCAAGCTGCCTCCGGAGCCACATGTGACTACACAACCCCGGGTGGCTGCACGCCCCAAGCTGCCTCCGGAGCCACATGTGACTACACAACCCCGGGTGGCTGCACGCCCCAAGTTGCCTCCGGAGCCACATGTGACTACAGAACCCCGGGTGGCTGCACGCCCCAAGCTGCCTCCGGAGCCACATGTGACTACAGAACCCCGGGTGGCTGCACGCCCCAAGCTGCCTCCGGAGCCACATGTGACTACACAACCCCGGGTGGCTGCACGCCCCAAGCTGCCTCCGGAGCCACATGTGACTACACAACCCCGGGTGGCTGCCCGCCCCAAGCCACCTCCGGAGCCACATGTGACTACACAACCCTGGGTGGCTGCCCGCCCCAAGCCACCTCCGGAGCCACATGTGACTACACAACCCTGGGTGGCTGCCCGCTCCAAGCCACCTCCGGAGCCACATGTGACTACACAACCCTGGGTGGCTGCCCGCCCCAAGCCACCTCCGGAGCCACATGTGACTACACAACCCCGGGTGGCTGCCCGCCCCAAGCCACCTCCGGAGCCACATGTGACTACACAACCCTGGGTGGCTGCCCGCCCCAAGCCACCTCCGGAGCCACATGTGACTACACAACCCCGGGTGGCTGCACGCCCCAAGCCACCTCCGGAGCCACATGTGACTATAAAACCCAGCCTTTTGTATATAAAAGGCTGCCTGTATAAGCAACCCTATACAGACTTTTTGACTGACAATCTTTATGTATACTGGATTTTTTTATTCCATCTTCAACTTTGTCTTTTCCAATTTTGCTGATTTATTTTAAAAATTATTGTTATTATTTTGAATTGATTTAAATATGTAAATAAATACATTGAACTTTAATTAACAAAAAAAAACTTAAAATGTCATGAGTGTTTCATACATATTGTTGAGAGGCACCAACTAACTCACCTGAGGAGGAGGAGGACCGCCCCAGGTCGTCCGCGACGGACCCAAGGCCTCTCACAGGGTCTCATCAGGTAAAGACGGTCTTGCGCTGCAACGGAAAATGTGTTGGAAATGCAATGTTGCTGTTTGTTCTCTCAGGGTGGGAGAGTTATTTGCTTTCAAAAACCGAGCTGTGTGAGAGGGAGCTTTTGGCCTGAAAACACTGAGCTGTGAGAGTAAGAGCTTTTTCGCTTGCAATCACTAAACTGTGAGAGTAAGAACTTTTGACCTGCAAACAGTGAACAGTGAGAGTAAGAGTTTTTGACCCGCAAACAGTGAGGTGTGAGAGTAAGAACTTTTGCCTTGCATTCATTGAACTGTGAGAGTAAGAGCTTTTGGCCTCCAAATACTGAGCTGTGAGAGTAAGAGCTTTTGGCCTCCAAACACTGAGCTGTGAGAGTAAGAGCTTTGAGCCTGATAATACTGAACAGTGGAAGGGAAAGTTCTTGGCCTGCAGACACAGAGCTGTGGAATGGACAACTGATGGTCTGAGAACACTGAGCTGTGGGACGGAGGTGAGGTCCCGAGCAGGGCTGGTATTCTCACCGTAAGTCGTGTACAGTGTTTGTTACGTGTCTCAAGTGTATCTCAGGTCAGGTCAGACGCCCTGAAGTGATCAGCCACACGAGGACCAAGTGTGAAGCTGACAGGTCACCACTGATGGTGACCACCACCACTGATGGTGACCACCACAACTAATGGTGACCATCACCACTGATGGTGACCACCACCACTAATGGTGACCATCACCACTGATGGTGACCACCACCACTAATGGTGATCTTCACCACTGATGGTGACCATCACCACTGATGGTGACCATCACCACTGATGGTGACCATCACCACTGATGGTGATCATCACCACTGATGGTGACCACCACCACTGATGGTGACCATCACCACTGATGGTGACCACCACCACTGATGGTGATCTTCACCACTGATGGTGACCATCACCACTGATGGTGACCACCACCACTGATGGTGACCATCACCACTGATGGTGACCATCACCACTGATGGTGATCTTCACCACTGATGGTGACCATCACCACTGATGGTGACCATCACCACTGATGGTGACCATCACCACTGATGATCATCACCACTGATGGTGACCACCACCACACTGATGGTGACCACTGATGGTGACCATCACCACTGATGGTGACCACCACCACTGATGGTGATCTTCACCACTGATGGTGACCATCACCACTGATGGTGACCACCACCACTGATGGTGACCACCACCACTGATGGTGACCATCACCACTGATGGTGACCATCACCACTGATGGTGACCATCACCACTGATGGTGACCATCACCACTGATGGTGACCACCACCACTGATGGTGACCATCACCACTGATGGTGACCACCACCACTGATGGTGACCACCACCACTGATGGTGACCATCACCACTGATGGTGACCATCACCACTGATGGTGATCTTCACCACTGATGGTGACCATCACCACTGATGGTGACCATCACCACTGATGGTGATCATCACCACTGATGGTGACCACCACCACTGATGGTGACCATCACCACTGATGGTGACCACCACCACTGATGGTGATCTTCACCACTGATGGTGACCATCACCACTGATGGTGACCACCACCACTGATGGTGACCACCACCACTGATGGTGACCATCACCACTGATGGTGACACACCACTGATGGTGACATCACCACTGATGGTGACCACCACCACTGATGGTGACCATCACCACTGATGGTGACCACCACCACTGATGGTGACCATCACCACTGATGGTGACCATCACCACTGATGGTGACCATCACCACTGATGGTGACCATCACCACTGATGGTGACCATCACCACTGATGGTGACCACCACCACTGATGGTGACCATCACCACTGATGGTGACCATCACCACTGATGGTGACCATCACCACTGATGGTGATCATCACCACTGATGGTGACCATCACCACTGATGGTGACCACCACCACTGATGGTGACCATCACCACTGATGGTGACCATCACCACTGATGGTGACCATCACCACTGATGGTGACCATCACCACTGATGGTGACCACCACCACTGATGGTGACCATCACCACTGATGGTGACCATCACCACTGATGGTGACCACCACCACTGATGGTGACCACCACCACTGATGGTGACCACCACCACTGATGGTGACCACCACCACTGATGGTGACCACCACCACTGATGGTGACCACCACCACTGATGGTGACCACCACCACTGATGGTGACCATCACCACTGATGGTGACCATCACCACTGATGGTGACCATCACCACTGATGGTGACCATCACCACTGATGGTGACCACCACCACTGATGGTGACCATCACCACTGATGGTGACCACCACCACTGATGGTGACCACCACCACTGATGGTGACCATCACCACTGATGGTGACCATCACCACTGATGGTGACACTGATGGTGACCATCACCACTGATGGTGACCACCACCACTGATGGTGACCACACCACTGATGGTGACCACACCACTGATGGTGACCATCACCACTGATGGTGACCATCACCACTGATGGTGACCATCACCACTGATGGTGACCATCACCACTGATGGTGACCATCACCACTGATGGTGACCATCACCACTGATGGTGACCATCACCACTGATGGTGACCATCACCACTGATGGTGACCATCACCACTGATGGTGATCTTCACCACTGATGGTGACCATGGTGACCATCACCACTGATGGTGACCATCACCACTGATGGTGACCATCACCACTGATGGTGACCACCACCACTGATGGTGACCATCACCACTGATGGTGACCATCACCACTGATGGTGACCATCACCACTGATGGTGACCATCACCACTGATGGTGACCACTGATGGTGACCACCACCACTGATGGTGACACACACTGATGGTGACCATCACCACTGATGGTGACCATCACCACTGATGGTGACCACACCACTGATGGTGACCATCACCACTGATGGTGACCATCACCACTGATGGTGACCATCACCACTGATGGTGATCATCACCACTGATGGTGACACACCACTGATGGTGACCATCACCACTGATGGTGACCATCACCACTGATGGTGACACACCACTGATGGTGACACCACTGATGGTGACATCACCACTGATGGTGACCACCACCACTGATGGTGACCATCACCACTGATGGTGACCATCACCACTGATGGTGACCATCACCACTGATGGTGACCATCACCACTGATGGTGATCATCACCACTGATGGTGACCATCACCACTGATGGTGACCATCACCACTGATGGTGACCATCACCACTGATGGTGATCTTCACCACTGATGGTGACCATCACCACTGATGGTGACCATCACCACTGATGGTGACCATCACCACTGATGGTGATCATCACCACTGATGGTGATCTTCACCACTGATGGTGACTATCACCACTGATGGTGACCATCACCACTGATGGTGATCATCACCACTGATGGTGACTATGGATTCATTTTCTCCAATTCCGTGTGTGTTTCTAAAGTACACACTGGTCCGATGGGAACCTCACTGATAGTATATTTCAACAACAGTTAGTTTCTTCTACCTCGAGGATTACGGGTGTCATGATCCCAGGCTGCCTGAGAAACGAGTTAACCCCCCCTGAGAGTTATTCTGCCAGACCTGACCTAACTAAGCGGTCAAGGTAGACTTGGATATATATATATATATATATATATATATATATATATATATATATATATATATATATATATATATATATAATATATATATATATATATATATATATATATATATATATATATATATATATATATATATATATATATATATATATATATTGTCACGTGGGGGGTGGTGGGCCGGGGCTCTGCTAGCACTCGGCTGCTAGGGGCTCAAAAGGCCGAATACTCAGTCCCTCCGACTCCCGGGATTCACCGGAGTCTCCTTGGTCACACAGGAGAGGACCAACAATGCCCACCTCCGCAGGTCTTTGCTTCCACCACAAAAGGGGGTGCCACTGATTTACCCTGGAAGCCCTTCAGTCAAACACGGGGAAACTGCTGTTAACAGTTCCGGCCTAGACCTGTAGAGGAGTGAAGGAAGACTCAGGCTTACCTTATAACAATAACCTCCCTGAGTCTTGCCTGCCAGACAAAAAGGTTGCAGGAACTCCTTTCCTGCCTGTCTTCTCTATCTTCTCCTTAACAAGGTCGCCAGCTGGGTTATTATATCTGCACCCCAGCAATGCAGTTCAGTGGGTGTATTATATATTGTTTGTAGCCAGAAGGTTGCTACTCCCATAGATCTGCTACTAGACTGTCGGCCCCAGGGTACTCTCCCAGAAAGGTCTGTGTGGCTTTACCTCTCTATAGCCACTACGTCAATAGTTGCCACCATTCAGGCACAGATACTGATCGGATGGCTAAGGGTACACTTTTATGTAAGTTTGTGCTGTCTTTACCACTCTCCAGGCAATAAGAACTGCTATAGAGAACGTAGTGTTCCCTAGGTGGTACTATGATAACCTTCGTGTATGCTCATAGAGAAAATATCATAAATGGAGGCACACTTAAACACAGTGATAAAACGTGTGAATTTACTGATGCAAATTACATGAACACACACAAACACAAGTAATACATGAATATGGAAATATGGATAATAAGTCTGGAGATCGTCAGCCTCTTCTCCCACGACCTCCAACACTCCTTCAACTGGGCAGAAAGGCAGGAGTCTCACACTCTCACAGGAGGGCCTCTTCACCACGGCGGCGCCTCTTCTTCATTGTCCTGCCATCAATACACACTGTCCTCTCTGACAGTCCTGGACGCAAGCTGCCTTGCAGCCTATTCTACTATTAAAGTATTAAAGTCCTGCTGCCACATACGTAAGTAAATATTGTGGCCTAACTAGCCTACTCATACAAGGGGTAATGGGAGGGAAAATGATCTACCTTACAGTCCTGGCTCACGACGCTTGTCCCTCGATGGTGTGAGGTTCCCACGCTTCCTGAGTCGATCCTCGACGATCCAGGAACGTTCCACAGGTCCTCAGGTGTCGTGGAGCCTTCGCGTCGTCGCCGTTCCAATTCCTGAGATTCAGCTGCCCCAATCCTGGTTCATCGATGGGCGCTGAGCTACTCACTATTTTTCCCACACTCGCCCCTTCCACAAGGCGTTGCTCCTTGTCCTAGGCACGGTG